CCATACCCCTCATAATCTTATTCACCTCAATCATGGTCTCCCTCAGTCTTCTCTGCTCTAAAGAAAACAATCCAAGCCTATCGAGTCTCTCCTTACAGCTCAATTTCTCCATCCCAGGCAATATTCTGGTGAAACTCCTCTGTAGCCCCTCTAGTGCTATCACATCCTTTCTGTAGTGAGGTGACCAGTACTGCACACAGTACTCCAGCTGTGGCCTGACCAATACTCTGTACATCTCCAACATTACCTCCTTGCTCTTATACTCTATGCCACAACTGATGAAAGCAAGTGTCCCTATGTCGTTTTAACTATCCTATTCACTTGCTCTGCTGACTTCAGGAATCTGTGAATAACTGTGCCTCTGTTCTTCGAAGCTACCCAGTGTCCTGCCATTCTTTACATACTCCCACATCTTGTTTCTTCTTCCAAAGTGTATCACCTCACACTTGTCAGGGTTAAATACCACCTGCCACTGCTCTGCCCATCTGATCAAGTCATCTATATCTTCCTGTAGCTTACAACCATCTTCGTCACTATTGAGCACTCAACCAATCTTGGTGTCATCTGCAGATGAGCTTAACATCACCCCCACACACACATATTTTCATCTGCATCAATTATGTACATAAACAATAAGGGTACTGGCCCCAGGACTAATCTCAACCTCATCCTGCTGATGCTTCCAAAGCAGGGCCAACTGAATGCAGGGGGCAGGGACAATCTATAAGGAATCCCCAGATGGCCCATGGTGCTTTGACGGTCCTGCAGGCAGCTCGCTGAACAGCTTTCAAGTGCTGTGGTGCAAGGTCCCAGCTACCAGCTCCGAAAGCAATGCAGCCCCGGCAACCAACATCCTGTGGCACTGCTGTGACCACAACGTGCAAACTGTTTCTCCTGTTCACCTCCCCTGGCTCACGTCGTCCTTCCTTAACAAGAGAGCCAGCAGAAAGCAACGTTTTAGCTTTCGTTTCGTTGAGTGCAAACGACGCAGGGCTCAGCCAGCAAATTGTATCGATATCTCTCTCAGAACTCAGCTTCAAAGTTTGTGAAAAAAAACCCTTTCTCAACTCGAAGCTGCCAGTAAAAGTTTCACATCTAAACATCCGCTTTGATAGCTCCGTGACCACACTGAGCACCAACCACCCCAGCGCAAAACTAGTCAGTTTATTCCATTCTTTACGTTTATAAAAGAAGTGATTTTTAAATAGACTTTTACACCAGGATATGTTCTTTGCTAATGCGCGTTCTGCAAATATCATTCTGATCTATGCAACCAGAGGTCATGTTACACCAAGTGCCCTTTGAACTGAGTGTGCCAGCCAAACTGGAACCTTTCCAAAGTAACGGATAAAGAACACAAAACCGCCAGGATAAAAGATGCACACACCTGGGCCAAGGCTCAAATCATTTCTTTCACGTTCGTAAATAAAGGAAAAAGCTTCAAACAATCGAGAGGTGAGGGCGACATGGAGGAAAAGGATTCCTTACCATTTCTTGTGCCCTCATGAACCTTTTTTGCACGTGCTTGGCAAACAGTCCGGCCCCTCCAGGTTTACTTGGGGTCTCAGCCATTGCACTGGTGTGTTCCTTCACAATGCCCTGTCGCTTTGTGTCAAGTCGACACTCCGACCTCCCCGACAACTCTCAGCCTGCCTGCCTATGAGGAAGTGAGATTTTAGAAAAAGCTATCATACTTTACATCCGCTTCTGATCTTAGATGATATTTTGTGGGGAGGAACTAAACTAGGTCTTTTTACTCCCAGTAGAGGAGCAGTTCCCAGCATTTTATATCTGCTCTTGGCCAAGCGGTCTACAAGTTTTTTGAATCGCAAAAATGTACATTAGTTCAGCTACAGCTGGAGGATTGCGTCCAGTTCTGGGCTCCACGCTTACTAAAGACCGTGAATGCATTGGAGAGAGCACAGAAGGGAAAGGTTCGAGGGATGAGAAACTTCATGTTATAAAGACTTGTTGGGAGAAACTGTTCCCATTCATTAAAGTAGTTCCCATTCATTAAAGGATCAAGAATGAGAGGCAGTGGATTTAAACCAATGAGTCGCAGAAGCAGGTGGACACCAGGAAAAATCGTTTTGGTGCAATGAATGGCCAGAGTCTAGAATGCATTCCTTGAGATTCTGGTGGAAGCTCTTTAATTGTGGTTTTATGTTCATATCTATGAGTTTGGGTTGAAGACAGACTTGCTGAGGAAAAGGCAAGATCAAGAACTCTTTTTGGGCCTGGGCTTCTTTATAACCTCTTGATTATAAATTGAGGCTAAATGCTACAATAGGTGGTATTCACAGATATACCAGGGCTCTGATCTTACTGTTACACTATTGAAAGATTATTTCATCAATTTTATAGTCTGTCTACTCCGCATGCTTTTCTGCATGGTTTTCTCTCTTCACTCTGCTCACACTGTGCTATTTAGGCCCAGTGAGCAGCAGCTCTGTAACATCATCACAAAGTTGCTCCAGGGTCCTAAAGCACTTGCACAGCATCCCTCCCCAGGCTTTGCCCCACTGCCTCCCCTCAACAGAAACACTGATTGCCATCTCGAATGAGGTACCTGGATTGCCTGTCTTTTACAACATAGCACATGGTTTACCTCTGTTTTCCAATGCTCCCAGGCCTTTGGTTTAACTCATCTATATTGGTAGGTCACTCAGTAAAGTCTATAATAATGTGCAGGAACACTTAACAGTAAAGCTAGAGAGCTTGCTGTTTTTCTGGCTTCCATTAGATCAAATAGATCAAGGGACCTGACCACATTTCAATTTGATTTATGGTTGTCACAAGTACCTGAGTACAGTGAAAAGTTTTGTTTTGCAAGCAGTACGGGCAGATCATAACATACAAGGACATACAGATCATAGGGTGGTTAGACAGAATGAGGCATACAAGGTTATGGCTGCACAGGAGGTGCGCAAATGCAAAATTAGCATTAGATTTTAAACTAGAGAGGTCCATTCAGCAGTCTAATAACAGCAGGAAAGAAGCCGTTCTTGAACTTGTTGGCGTGTGTGTTCAAGCTTCTGTATCTTCTGTCTGATGGAATCAGGTTTGATGAGAGTAATACTGGGGTGGGTGGGATCTTTGATGATATTGGCAGCCTTTCTAATGGCAACAAGAAGTGTAAATGGAGACCATGGATAGAAGGTTGGCTTTTGTGATGGTCTGGGCCGTGCACACAACTTTCTGTAGTTTCTTACGGTCCTGGGCAGAGGAGTTGCTGTACCAGGTCATTATGCACCCAGTTAATATGCTTTCTATGGTGTATCTGACAACATTGGTGAGGGTACTTATGGACCTACCAATTTCCTAAGTCTCCTGAGGAAGAAGAGGCATTGATGTGCCTTCTTGACTGCCGCATCTATGTTGCATACCCTAAATGGGTAGCACTTACTGAAAAGTTTTACACTAACATAGCTGTAGGAATGAATGAGGACAATGGCCTGTTTCTTCTCTGACATTAGCATCTGGATTGGGTGGTGGTGTTAATTCTCTGAAAAGAAAAGGTGATGCTGTTTATCCATAGGTGGCTATTCATTGTATAAAGAAACTTGTTCCATTGCAGAATTGATCAGGTCTTCTGTCCCAGTACATGAATATACAGGTCAGGTTGGAAAGGATTTGGGTTTACGTTCTCAGTCTAGCACATCTTCAAGAAGTGACTACTTTTGCTACAAAGAACATATTTTTGGTGTCAGGTTGGACAATGTTCTCTTTGCTGATCTGGAGTTTTACAACCACGCCTGATATTGTAACACTCAATATTTGCATAGGATTTTGAGTTGAAGCTGTCACACATAGTCTAGTTTTTCAGATGAAAGGTCTGTCGCCTCTGTTCAAATGGTCTACACCCTCTGTGGAACAAAACAAAGAACTGCGGATGCTGGAGATCTGAAATGAAAACAGAAGTTGCTGGCAAAATTCAGCAGGTCTGGCAGCATCTGCAGGAAGAAAACAGAGTTTGGAGTCCAGTGAGTCTTCATCAGAACTGCCTCACCCGAATTGTTGGAGGACCAGTCTCTCTCCCTTGGTCCTCCAGCTCCACCCCTCACTCACTCGGTTTGTTCAAGGACCAGTCCCTCCCCATCAGATGCTCCAGGTCTGCCCCCACTCCCTCGGAATGTTGAAGGACCAGTCTGTCTCTCCCCTGGTCTTCCAGCTCCACCACTCATTCACTCGGCTTGTTGGAGGAACGGTCTCTCCCCCCATGGTCCTCCAGTTCTGCCCCTCGCTCTCTCAGATTGTTGGAGGACCTGTCTCTCCCCCGGGCCAAAAACAGGAATTGCTGGCGAAACTCAGCAGGACTGGTAGCATCTGTGGAGAGCAAACAGAATTAACATTTTGAGTCCAATGATTCTTCATCAGAGCTCTCTGTAGAATGTTCTGCTGTTCTGCTTTTGAAGGGGTAACAGAAAGGATTGATGAAGGTAATCCTGTTGATGTGGTGTATGTGAATGTCCAGAAGGCATTTGATACAGTGTCACACAACAGACTTGTGAGGAAGGTTACAGGACATGGAATAAAAGAGATAGTAGCATTGTGGCTGCAAAACTAGCTGAATGGTAGGAAACAGGGAGTGATGGTCAATGGATATTTCTCAGGCTGGAGAAAGGTTTACAGTGGAGATCCCCAAAGGTTGATATTGGGACCCTTGATTTTCCTGATATATATTAATGATCAGGATCTTGGTGTGCAGGGGACAATTTCAAAGTTTGCAGATGACACAAAACTTCAAAGAATTGTAAACTGTGAGGAGGACAGGCTGAAACTTCAGAAGGATGTTGACAAGTTATTGGAGTGGGCAGATGGGTGGCAGATGAGGTTCTGTGCAGGGAAGTGTGAGGTGCTGCATTTTGTTGGGAAGAACATTGAAAGACAATACAAAATAGGGGTACAATTCTGAAGGGGGTGCAGGAGCAGAGGGAGCTGGGAGTATATGTGCACAGATCATTGCCAGGACAGGGGTAGAGAGCACATACAATGTTCTCAGCTTTATTAATAGGGGCATGGAGTACAAGAGCTGGGGAGGGGTGATGTTGAATTTGTGCAAAACATTTGTTAGACTTCAGCTGGAATATTGCATACAGTTCTGGGCACCTCACTTTAGGAAGGATGGGAATGCATTGGAGAGAACACAGAAGAGATTTACCAGAATGGTTCCAGGAATGGGAAACGTCAATGATGAGGATAGATTGAATAAGTTGGGACTGTTCTCCTTGGAGAGAAGAAGGCTGAGAGGAGATCTGAGGGAAGTTTTCCAAACCATGAATGGGCTGGATAGAATAGGGGGAAACTGTTCCCCCTCATAAAAGAAGCAAGAACAAGAGGCCAAAGGTTTAAAGTGATTTGCAAAAGAAGCAAGGGTGATGTGGGGAAAAGCTCTTTCACTCAGTGAGTTGTTAGGGTCTGGAATGCACTGCCTGGACATTTGTGGAGAAAGGTTCAATTGAGGCATTTAAAAGGGTATTGGATGACTATTTGGATAAAGAAATAATGTGCAAGTGTATGGGGGAAAAGGCAGGAGATCAGTACTAGGTCATGAGGTGTATTTAACGAGCTGATGCTGGCACTATGGGCTGAATGGTCTCCTTCTACACTGTAACAGTTCCATGATTCTGTGAAATGGAACTTTTTTTGTATAATGCTTCTTGGATTTTTTTTTACTCACTGCTATTTGGAAAAAGAAACAAAAAGTGCTGGGGAAACTCAGATGGTTTGGCAGCATCTGTGAAGGGAAAAATGGAGTTAACAATTTGAGTCCAATGGCAATTCTGCAGAGTGGATTTTGGACTGCTCATTTTAGAGTTCCATCATCTTTATTGAAACAGCTTAGTACTTCATTTATCTAAGAGACCACGATGATTCTGTTGCAAATGAGCTCTAGTTCTAAATTTGCATGGTTCAGATAGTACAAATATGTGGTTAATAAATCGATCTACACACCATCCTGAAAGTTGCTATCTGCAGTTAAAGTGTGATCCCGCCAGTGTTTTATTTGTTCTTGAAGTGAAATATTTATGAAAAGCTGCTAAGCAGTTGTTAAATATAACTTGCTTTTCATTGAACTGTTGCCTGTGTAGCACATGATCTAATGTCCTTTCCATACAGTAGAGAACCTGTTCTGTATTTGATTTGGTGTCCAATCCTGAAGCTGTTTGAAATCTTTGGAATCATACTTTCCCCATTTTCCGATTTACTGATCTGAAAAATAGAGCTGAGAGATTGAATTGTTCTGATGGAAAGATCAGTATCAGTGAATTTTGATGCCTTGTTTCATTGATTGTTGATAGACACTTCAGATTATTGGTTTTTGTTATGATCTGAATGATCATTGTTACGATTTTGATCTCCCTGTCCTACCCTCATTTGTGGTTTTGTTGTATTCTTCATTGATTAACTTTGTGGTTGTAAAGATTGTTGTAATAGTACTAAAACAGAAAGCTGTTAAAGATTCTACTATTTGAAGTGCTGTTTTCAATGCAAAGGCCATTTTTCCTTTACCAATGTGGCATCATCATAGGGATGAATGACAAATTTCCTTATTCAAGATGGCTGAAAAATGTCTTAAAGGCCTGTGGGTAGATGCTTTCTCAAAATGGCATCAATCAATAAGATTCAATGACTTTTTGACTATATCAAAGATGGCTGCCACAATGTTAATTGCACTGTTTCTTTTCTTTTGCTTTAGCCCGAGGGGCAAAGGGCAAATTGGGTGAATTTGAATTAGGATTGCTTGTTGCTTCTTAAGCCTGAGACACTGAGGTATTGTTTGATTGCTTTCTTTCCCATGTCATCCCAAACATTACTGAGGCCCAAACCCTGGCTTTCAGGTTCCAGTTTTTGAAATCAGTAATATTCTCTAAAATGAGATTAAAAATTGGGTTTATAATGTGACAATACTGTGGCTTTAAGTATTTTTTCCAGGCTTTTTTTGAACAGAGGATTTGAGCCATAGGTGGTGAGCTCTCTGTTCCAAGCCAATAAAGTGAACAGTTTGTGAGGCTTGGGTTTTTTTAAAAAAGATAGAGCAATAGAAGCAGCATGAATGGGTGGAGTCAGGCTCCCACAGAACCAGTGTTTCAGTTTAGCTTTCAGTTGTTTGGAGGTTTGAAGCTGATTGTAGAAACAGCTACATCTTTCTCTGTCTCTCTCTCTCTCTGCTACAGCTAAAAACTGAGGTTCTTCCTCTGCTGCCAGAATCGCATGCGAGACAATCTTATTTTACTGAATTTGATTTTGTCAAGGGTGTGTTATGGGGTGTTACTATGTTGGAGCAGTTACTGCTTAGCAGTTAAATAATTGATTAATTGGTTAAGTTTTTCAATAGTTAAAGTTAGACTAATTCTTTCTTTTGTTTGTATTTTAACTGCAGGGTAAGAATAAAGTTTGTTTTGCTTAAAGCTGAATAGTGTAACCAATTGAATTACATCTGGAACACAGCACCTTACATTTGCCTTTAGATAAGACAAAAGTTATTGTCTAGGCTGTCTCCTTGATATACTTAAAGGGGTCCATAACAATAAATACAACATTCAAAATATTGGGGAATGGCTTTGTTACTGCACACAAGCAATCAGAAAATTAAGGAAGACAGGACTGGAGAGATAGATTATAAATTACAAGCTTTACTAAATTCAAAGGTAATAAAAATAAATCAGTCCATGGGAGTTCCAACTTGCCGGAGGTCAGTGTGCAATAATAGTTTCAGCCTGGACTCCTGCAGATGTAGAATCGTAGAATTGTGCAATGTAGCAAGTCAACAAGCTCAGATTTCAGCCTTGTAACAGAGACAGGCACTTCACGTACCGATGGTCCATCTCAGTGGGCTAAGTAGAAGGTTACTGAGCCAAGAGTGGAGCTGAACCTCTGCCATCAGAATTTCCGTTGCAAGGTGCCAAGGTATCTGTCAAAGCAGGAGCATAATGCCTCTTGACGTTTCTATTTTGCTGCAGGTGGGTGGAAGCAGTGGCCCCGTCCCATCTCCTTTGTGTCAGCTTTATCTGGAATGTTCATACAATGCGGGGGCTCAGAAGCTTCCGGAAATAAGATCACATGATAGCTTTTACGATCAAGGCTAGGTCATTAAGCATCTTCAAGGCCAAGATAGACGGATTTTTAATCATCAAGGAAAAAGGCAGGAAAGTGGAGTTGAGGATGATCGGATCAGCCATGATCACATTGAATGGCGGAGCAGACTCAATGGGCTGAATGGCCTACTTCTGCTCTTGTGTCTTCTGCAAAGAAGACTGGAGCCTCCACCGTCACTCTCCAATGACTGGATGAGCACAGGAAGCGATGTATGGTCAAAACACAGCCCAATGACCTCAGTCTGTCTCTGCTTTGTGCTTTCATGGAATCCATGTTTATTCCAAACAGAACCCACAGCCAGCAGCTTGCCCAAAGGAGTTTCATGCTAACCATCACCCCCTTCCCCATTACAAACACACCATTAGTCTCAATGCCCTTGTAGGGGGGACCCAGCAGCTAAGGCCTGGGCTGGAGCGGTCTGGCCCAGTTGGCTTGGTGGCGTGAACAAGGGCACTGGGTATCATTGCCACGTGGGTAAGACCTGTGTCCCTGGGCCCTTGCCTCAGCACTGCCGGGGGGCCTCAGCTGAAGGGCAGAGTGCAGGAGAAGGAGGGATGGTGCTCTCCAACGTGGATCCACGTGAGCATTTTCTGGAGTGCTCTCTCACAGCCAGTTCCTGGAAAATCAACCAGTACAGGGCGTGCGTCAAGGAGGCAGAAGCAAAAGAATAAATCCCAGCCTGAGAAATATCCGGGTGCCCAACGTTGGCACCGTGATAAGAGACATGATAATTCCAGAGGGCTGGCACAAGCTAGCTCAATCAAAGGCCCAGCATCAGCAGCTGCAACTCTGCCAGTACATTCCTGCTGCTTACAAATAAAACTGAACGTTGTCAAGCTGAGAGAACCAGCACTGAACTTAGAATCTCTCCTGTGTGGAAGCAGGCCATTTGGCCAATCAAGTCTGCACCAATCCTCTGAAGAGCATTCCAGCCACACCAATGACCTATCCCCCTAAACATCATAGCCAACCCACCCAACCTATACATCCCTGGACACTATCGGCAATTTAGTGTGGCCAATCCACCCTAACCTGCACATCTTTGGACTGTGGGAGGAAACCCACGCAGGCACAGGGCAATTGCCCGAAAGACAGTTGCCCGAAAGTGGAATCGAACCCAGGCCCCTGGCGCTGTGAGGCAGCAGTGCTAACCACTGATTGGAAGTCAGATCTCCTGTAGCCCTGCATCCCTCTGAGATCTCCGCACTTCATCGATTCTGGGCTCATGTGCATCGTCAGTTTTCACCGCCCCGCCATTGGGGCTGGTGTTTTTGAGCTACTAAGGCCCTAAGCTCTGGAGTTCCCTCTCTAAACCTCTGTGCCTCAACCTCTCACTCCTTATTCAGACTGACCCTTAAGGAACAGCTCCTTGGGCAAGGTCTTACTGACATCCTGGCGAATCTCCTCTGCACTGTCTCCAGTGCAACCACATCCTTCCTATAGCATGGTGACCAGAACTGCACACAGTACTCCACCTGTGGCCTATCAAATACAGCTCCATCACAACCTCCCCACTCTTATAATCTGTGCGATGTCTGATAAAGGCAACGTGAGAGAATTAATCTCCACTCGGAGAGGCAAATTTTGATCAGGCTTAGTCAGCGTGGCTTTGTCAGACGGAGGTTATGCTAAACAGATTTGATTGAAATCTTCTAGGAGGCAACCAGGTGTGTCGATGAGGGTAGAGCAGTTGATGTAATTTATATGGATTTCAGCAAAGCCTTTAACAAGGTCCCAAATGGGAAACTGATAAAGAAGGTAAAAGCTCACGGGATCCAGGGTAACTTGGCAAGTTGGACCCAAAATTCGCTTAGTGGCAGGAGACAGAGGGAGGTGGTAGAAGGCCATTTGTGTGACTCATGCCCAGTGTATACTGACATACCATAACATCTTATTGTTCGTGGTATATATAAACAGATGAGAACGTGAAGGGGATGATATGTAAGTTTGTGAATGACACCAAGATTGGCCGGGTGGTTGACAGTGAGGAGGAAGGTGTTGTTACAGGAGGATATAAACGGATTGGTCAGATGTGCAGATCAGTGACAGATGGAATTTAACTCTTAAAAAGTTTGAGGTGATGCGCTTTGGAAGAAGTAACCAGACAACGGAGTACTCAATGAACGACAGGACACTAGGAAGCTCAGACTAACAGAGGGATCTTGGGGTGCTTGTTCACTGATCCCTGAAGGTGGCAGGGCTGGTTAATAGGATGGGTTACAAAGGCACATGGGACACTTGCCTTTATCAGTTATGGCATAGATTATTTGAGCAGGGAGGACATGTTGGAGCTGTACAGGACTTTGGTTAGGGCACAGCTGGAGTACTGTGTGGTCAGACACTAGAGGAAGGATGTTATAGCACTGGAGGGGGTGCAGAGGAGATTCACCAGGATATTGCTTGGAATGGAGCATTTC